CAAACGCTTAGCTGGATATGGAGACTATACCAGTAAACGAAAGATTATGGAAGTGATTCGAATCAACAAAACAGCCAACACTCTGAATCGAAGGAATGAGTGTATGAATTTAAGTGGAAACTCCTTGTGGCTGCTGGATAGGTTTAGATAGAGAGAGAGGGGAAGGAACAAGAAGTACCACCGAGCAGGAGGAGGCTTGATTAGGCCGGAATTTGGTTTTGACTTTCACATCACACTCATTTCAAGAGTAATGCACTCACACTTGTGCACTAGGACGCAATCGCATGCAATAACATTTCAGGATCAAAGGGATAAGTGTTTTAGGGTAGGATGCAGCTGTTCGGTTTCAATTTCATCCATTTCACGCTTCATCCGCAGCTACTTAACTTAACTTATGAGAAAAGATAGAGATAAAGCATAGGACATCCAACCAAAACATGAGACGCCTAAGTTGACTAAATTGGAATATAAGAAAGAAGTAGGCTTGAAGCCGGCCACCTTTCTTGTCTTCGTGTTTTTGGCGAATTATTTTTAACCATATTTTCCAGCTCTGATGGACGAAAGCTCGGCAAGGATTCACTGGGATTGCAGGAAGGTGCGCCGAGGACCTATTCGCACAAACCTACAACCACAGATCCAAAGCAACCCGCCCAGCCTCCGGTGGAACAAACTTACGAATCCCTTCCACCCGCCTATTCAAACTAAATGAAAGGTACTCCGACATCTTATAAAATAATGTTGATTGAAAGGTTAAGGGAAAGCTGATAACAAACACTCATGAATTTAGAGGTTATTCGCTCATAGGAAAATCTTAAGAAATCCTATGGAGTAATAATCATAAATTTACGGTATAACGATAATTATAGATTAATGATTATAATATTTATAAGTACGATTGATTTGCCTATCCTTCCACGAACTTGCTCGTAAGATGCGGCCGCTGTTAATGAAATGAAATATTCATACGATCATGAAGAAAAGAACCATACACATCACAAGCTTACCAACATAACACAAAAAAGTTAATAAAATGCAATGCTTTAGAGTTTATAAAAACCGCTGCAAGGATTGTGAACAAAGGTTGGTAGGATGGACAGGAATGGCAATCAGCACAGGAACTAAAGAATGCCAGCGACTGTAGAATCATGGACAAAGGAAGAACAAAGATAGCCAAGGTCTATCGACAATAACATTTACTGGAATGTAAAGAAAAGACTGAGATCATATGATAAAAATAAAATATAACGGGAAATAAGAGAAACCATAGATACCCGCATTCGGAGGAAGTGAATGAATTGGGAAAGAAAGAGGGAAAGGTAACAATTTTGATTTCAACAAAATAAGGAAAAAATAAGACGTATAGATTAAGTAAAATACTGGAAGAATAGAAGGGGCATCAGCAGGAGGGGCTCTATAGACAGGTGGAAGTAAAGATAATTACAGTGAGAGGAAATAAACCTAGGATAAATTTTAGAAATTTGCTGGGGTAGGTCTACCTATTAATCTATAAATTAGTGCTCGCATCTCATATATGTGAGCATAAATGTCTGAATAGTATGTGGATTTATTTCAAATCAACTTGGGTATCGGAACCGAGGTTGGTGACAATATAAAGTGGTCTCCAGAACATGCAAAGAATAGTTAGTGAAAAATATAAAGTTCCTAACATATTATAAAATCAGGACTAGGCAAAAATGATAACTTGAGCACTAAATAAGTTCTACTTGATTCAGAAATGGGCAAATAAAGCAAATATCTTTATACTAGCGGTTCCAAACGAAACCAGACACAGGGTTTCAAATAATGAAAATGGAGATGTGAGTAAAAGTACAACTGGAACATAGGGTTCTTGTAGCCAAATGAGCCTGAATAAACGGGCTGTAGGCGTGAGAAACACGATATAAGAGCAGTCTACATTAAAGGCACTGTATCATATTTATGGGGACAGTCATTAGAATAAATAATCAAATAAGGCGTAAGCAGGGACCAGATACAAGAAATTATAGACAGTCAGCTAGGTAGTACAATTATTTCCAAGTGCAGCAGGAAGTAATTAACAACACGGAGAGAGTATATAACTAGGTATAATTGCTGATTTGCTTCATGAAGCCATGCGAATGACATCTAAAGCCGATGTTTAAATAATTACACTTAACTAAATCCACTCTCTTAAGAGACACTAGAGCATACGAAGAAAGAGAAGTGAACTAGCCATATAGTGGGGCTGAGGGAAGAGGATAGAGAATATGGGGAGAGGAAAGAACACATTAAGAGCAGAAAATTTATCAAGAGGAACACTCTTATCACTTTGTTAAGTAGTAATTCGATGCTAAGGATGACGAATCTCGCTGATGATGTGGTTACGACGTCGATGAAATGTCCGAGAAAATACCATATAATCTGCGCCAATTATTGTGAATAGTAAAGATTGGATGTAGGACGGGACATATTCCACATTACTCCTCATCACTTTGACTAATATGAGAAAATGAGGTTATGCCGATTCAGTACAAATAAAGATGAAATTATCTTGGCTTTCGTAGCTTACAAAAAGCTAGTGGTAAAAGACTTAAATTCCAAAACCAACTTATGGACACGATGCATAACTAATATTTATTATACTTACAGGCTTAAATGTCATCTCATAAATAGGTCACAGTGACCAAGTCTCCTACTGTATAATATTCTCCTTATCCGATAATAATGAGGTAACTTGACGAATTTGTTTAGTGTCTAGTGTAGAATGACTGATTCATAAATACAGCAGAAATTTAAATAAAGCATAAATAAAAAGGCTAATAATAAAATGTAGACTACCAAGGTGAACAACTAGTAAAAAAAGTATTGGAAGCTTCTTCTGATCCGACTAAACGGACTATATAACTATAGGTATGGTCAGCATTTCATTAAATCATAGTAAAACTATTCTTTGTAAAATTTCCAAATGTTAACATTAAGTGTGGACAAAATTCATACAGGACGCTCATAGCGAAACTCATTTTTACATATATAGATTAAGCTTCATTCAATTGAAGAATTTACCAGGATAAATTTAACGTTTTGAGGAGTTAAATATTTCAGCATTTAGAAGATTTATAGCTATTTTATACCAAAAGATAAATAAGTTATTGAGTTGTGTACCAGTTGCCTCGCACTGTAAGGGCAAATTTCCCAAACTTA